GTTGTCCTATATTACTTACCGCGTTATCTCGATAGTTATACTGCCGTTGCTCCTGAATTTTTCGCTGTTTCACACACCAACAAAAAAGGAACACCACCATAATAGCCTAAAATCAGGTTTTTTTAACTGAAGTTCTACCTCTCCGAAGTAAAACTTGAACTTACAAGGATTATAGCTACAGTACTAAATATTACAGTAATCCATTTGAAATAATTTTCTTTTACTCGAGAACGGCACCATGGTTGTGAGCCTTTATTCCATTCAAAACGATAGGAATTTGGATTGTTGTAATCCACAACAATCCCACCTTTAAAAACAGATTCATTTTGTAGTTTTGGACGGATTCGAAAAAAAACTTGTGTGAGAATATTTACATTTATATTCATGATCTCCTTTGATCCAATGAGATTGATAACAATCAAACCGGGCTACGTCTCCCTGTAGATATCCTGATGCAAGTGCTGGAGTCTTCATCATGTACTCCGGATACTCAATATTAATCGCTCCGCAGCTGTTATCTAAGGGAATTTCATTATTTTCCATAGTTGAATTTGAAACTCAAATATTTTCTAGAAAATGTAGAGTTCAAAATGACCCACATTGCCTCACAGCATCCACTCTTTCCGTAATGAAACTATTCCAAGTGTCTTGTTCTTCGAAGGCTAATACCTTCGATTGTAGCAAAGCGTAATTGTACAAACATGGGACCTAAATCTTAGGATTTTCTTAGCAAAATGATTTTTTTCAAATAAATTTTGATTCAAAAAATAGTTTACGCTGTCGCCGCAATCACTGATAATCGAAGCGGCATCATCAGGGCAATGAGCTAGCCCATATTGAAGATTTGCTTGACTTTGGAATGGTTGCAGATTCACTGAAATAAATAGTAAGCTTGTCAATTATCTTTGAGCGCGCGGTCGCATCGCGGCAAACTCTTCGATGTGGCTATTCGACTCATAGATGCCGCAATGCAACCGTTCGCGCGCAGAGAAAATACTGGCGAGATTGGAAAAAGCAATGATGACGCACGTGATACATCCTCTTGCAGACCACGGCAATTGTTAAGCTCTTGATTA